CACTTGAAAATGTTCATTGCAAGTCTGGTTGTTCTACCGAGGGGGGGGGGGGGTTATAAAAAGAATATGTATTTGCAAAGATTTAATATCTTTAATCATATTGCGATAGTCTGCATGTATAGGATGGAACATATGAAAAATATACAGAATCGAGGCGTCCTGTCATCCATTTCTATTTTTATTCACTCGTCCCAATGAAACCTTATTAATTCGAACATATAACTTATTTGTACGCACCGATATTAATTCGTCTGCTACAAATTTCTACTTTTTCCCAACTTTTTTTCTGAAACAACGTATCAATGGAGTCAGTAAAGAAAGATAATTATATTCATAAATTTCATCTCCAGCGTGCGTTTGATCCATTAACAAGTACCATCTTTGATTTTCTGGGTTTGCTCCTTTATCAGAGAAATGATTAATTGATTGATTGTTAATTGCTTAAAACTGAATTGTCAATGTTTCGACATAGATAAATGAGGAAATTTATTACCCCTACGTGCTAAAAAGATTAAAGATCAAATCTAATCAAACAAATGCACGAACTAAGGAAGAACAATTATAATACACATTTTTCTCTTTCACCTGTTATAAATTTTGTATCACTTTAAAGGGGTCATTTTTCAATGGGGGTCAATATTTTATAGGACTAACATATAAAATAATAACCCATAGGACTCTTTTTCTACAAAAAATGATTTTTTTTCTACGGGTAGGGGGTCATTTTTTGTCGTTGAAAAATGACCCCCTGGTCATTATTCGGTGGGGGTCATTATTCGTCTTTACACCGGAATATATTATGCTGTCAATGTGTACATACCTTGTAATAATACTTCTTTTTGTTTCAACATTACTGGTGAGAAAAAAAATCCTTTATTTTCATACAAACCATTACATGTTTATTATCAAGAATGTACTGCAAATGTAAGCTGAAAACGGATTAATTGTATTATATTCTATTAGAAGCAATTCCTGATATTACGTCATTGTAACTTCAATTCAAAAAGCTGAAAAGAATATTTACTTGCGGCAAGAAAACTATATGAATTTCAGGAATATTCTAAGGATAAAACCCTGTCTTTGTAATAATTATAATCATATTATACTAAACATGTCACAATAAATCTACCTAAATCAACATTGTTCACTATTTTCTTTAAGGAATGAAGCTTTTTTCAACTTTTGTTATACGATATAACATAACTTGGGGCAGTTTACGCTTTATGAACCGCGAAGAGGTTTATAAAAAAGCGTAATCTGTCCCGTTATGTTATATCGTATAATATAAATTCAAATAAACTTCATTCCTTATAATTTAACTTCAGTGTAGACAATGAGACAATTTGAGTATTATTTTAAAAGTAACGTCAAGCAGAGTAATACGTTTTTGACGTAACTCATTTTGACGTCGGCAAGTTATGTTATACAAAATATCATATGTTCCTCTGAATGATTCAGCCAATGAAATTGCTTGATACAAGTGAAATTAAAGTATTAAACGTTATTAAGATGGAAATATTAAAAGCTTTCCATTGGTACATGAATCAAAATGTTCTATAAAAGGTGTACATGTATTCCTGACAGAAGGGTCCGTTTTTGTATTTTGTAAAATGATGTAAACTTATACTTAATGCCAATTCGACTTTTTAACTTGAAATAACAGTCTATATCATGCGAATGTACATATGCTGAATTCTTTTCTTTCAGTGCCAAATTGACGTTTACATGCGCCAATGTATAATACTGTGTGACCTCACAATAACGACGTCATAATTACTAGGTTATATTTTCAAATTCAAATGCTTACCAAAATCTCTCGGATGCCATATTAACCCTAATCGATGGGAAAATAAGTAGCAACTGTAACATAGCTTTTTGCATTTTTAATCCGTCGAGTAGTGTGTGAGGTCGAAACCATTGTATCTCGCGGGATGATGAAAAGGTACCCCATAATCATGCCAGTAGTGTGTAAGAACTAACACTCATAAGGCGATTGAGGTGCGAGGACTAACCTTAATATCTCAGATTTATGCAAGCAAAAGGCAAAATAAGTTTTAAAAAAGTTTGGAAAAAAAATTATATTTTAATGCCGATAATTTTGATTAAATGCTGATGTTTAACAACTGTTTGCACCTTTAGAAAATTAACGTTAAGGTAATGAAAATCTATTTTGATTAAAATTAAAGCACAACGTTTTTATGCATTATAGTGAATACGCTTGTGTAAAAAATCTTTAAAAACTATTTCTGTTGCTTCTAAACATGTAAATTGTAAATATAAGGAATGTTTTTAAGTTTAGTGTAAGTTATGCAGACTTGCATATATATAAGCATATTTTTCATGAAGCGCTAGCGCTCTTCATAATATATGCCTACGTGAAAAGTCAGAGTGATTCATACATCATTCACTCACACAAAACTTAAAAACATCCCTTAAATAACTGGAAATTGACTCTTTCGACCTAGTTTCAGTACACTCATTTTATGAAAGTAATCAAAAGGTTACAAGGAAAAAACATATCTATTATCAACAGTAGCTTACCTTCGACTTTGTTTTTCTCAAGTAAAAACAACGTTGTAAAAGCGACCAATCCCAAAACAAGAGCAATGACAAGGAGTATGTATAAAATCTTTTTGAGAGGTATGCACAAGGTTACAGAGCGAGCTAAATCTCTCGGTTGTTTCTCCTCCTCTCGATAATCGTGTCTCGCTGTTTCTTCTCCCATATTCTTAAAGATAATTCAATATTTAAAGATGAAAATTTAAATTTTCCTTTTATTTTAATTAAGAGAAAAAAAAAACTGCAATTTTAGACGTTAAATAGACAAAGGCATTAAATAATATAAAAATAAATTGAATTCCCAATCTTTAACGCTGGAAAGAGGATGAAGGTTTGGTGGGAAGTTCCAGAAGATTTACAGACAACCGCATTTCTTTTAGATTATTAACAAAAATAACCTATATTTTCTTCCACATTTTGCGATTCCATGTCAAATCCCGCTAAATATTTTGGGTAAGTACTTATGTAATAAATATATTCGATGCTGTCTATTTTATTCTTCTTAAACACTTGTCATTACAATAAATGCATAAAAATATATATCAACAACTTGCAGAATTTAGATTCCTTTACAAACAATAAAAAATCTTTAAAGTTTGCTTTTTTCTCAATTTATTGAAATCTATAAAACTGAAAATTACGGAAGCGTAAATGGCTCTACACTTGTTGTGTTATAACTTTGTATATTGTCTTATATTTTATCGACTTATCAACATATAAAGTGTCATACCTCCTTATTTATGTACATATTTTAAATTGTTTTAAGATTTCTTAACATAATAGAAGGCAACTTCTTTTGTTCAATGGATTTTATTGCTTTAAGTTTTATCGACTGAAATAAGTTTTATTGACCGCTCTCTGGAAAAAGGGGTCTTAATGACATTTTTAATAAAAATGAGTTTTTCACTGGAAATTGGTGGCACTGATCTGAAAAATAATATATCCAAGTTTGGTTGTTTAAATCCTAATAGTAACCAAGTTACAGGCGATTGAATGACGTCATTTATAAATGTGTCCAAACCCATGAAACGTCGTAACGTCATTCTAACGTCATCTTACGTTGTGTAAGAATTTTCTTTAATTCAGGATTGCTTTACGTAAAATTTTAAAGTTTTACTTATACGAATAAACTATCAAAATAAATATCTATATTTTTTTTATTCTTCTTTGATTATTACATATGGTACACATTTAGGCTATCAAAAAAAGGAGAAGAAGACATTTTAAGTTTCATTTAAATCTCAATCTGTATGTAAACAATGTTTTAATTATAATTATTCATCTTTTTTTTGAAAGTACACAATAATGATAGGGTGCAAATCAATTAAATCATTTATACTATATCTATACATTTAATTCCACTCTATTTCGGAAATGGACTAGGGCAAGTTTCGTTCTGAAATGCTGGTCGCACATAAGGCCTCACTTGCGAGAATAGGTATCGCAGTCGAGATTCAGAAAGTCCACTTGCGGGAAGAACATCTGGTCTTCTAATTTCTGTAAACTGAAAATCCTTGTCTTTTAAAATTGCGATCTTTTTTTCTTTCCCTTCACTGATCTTCTTCACTGTTACAATGCCGGGTTCTTCAGAATTGAAGGAAAAGTGTTGGTACTGGCGTATACCCTTCACTGCTTTGAAAAACTGACTAAGGTAAGCTTTCCACGATCTCCAATGCCATGTTGGGTATCTCAGATCTGTGTTTGTAGAAGACGATTTGTTCACAGCATCTTCAATTTGGTCAGCTCCATCACATTCACAACGCCTGTATAACTTTTTAATAAGAGCAAATCCTCCATCGATGAGGCATCGTGCATGACCAGGAATTTGCATCTTAAACTCTTTAGTGTTGTGTTGTTTCGTCATGACTCGCCACATAAAGTATCCAAGCACATATTGATTTTTATTCTGACCACAGCAGTTATCAGCATGGATTGTACATGACACTTCCCCCGAATTGTGGTTTTCTAAGGCCCAGTCCAGCATAGAAATCACCGAATCTGGACCATGCACATTTGCCCCATCTGGTCCGATAGTTTCATCCTCATTATTCAAAAAATTCAGTTGTTTAGGTTCTCCATCACTGCGGACACCAAATATATGGACGTTTCGAAGAATCTGAAAGTACAGTGGGCCCATTTGTCGTGCATTATACTTTTGATTTCAGTCAAAATGTTTGTATTCCTTAAACATTTTGACTGAAATCAAAAGTATAATGGACGACCTTGTTCTGTAAGCGATATGTGTCACGGGACCTTTTTACACATTCATTGTAAATTTTCCTCTCTGCTTGTGCTTGTATGATGTGGTCCTGCATCTTCCTTGTTGCAACCAACTTTTCTTCCTCGGAAACAGCATCCAAAATGCTTTTCCGTAGCTTTTCACAGGTGGCACAAATATCGTCTTTAGGTTTAGCAATTCGTATATGTGGAACACACTGATTCTAAACGTTGCAAAATGTGGAGTATTGTACATGCCGTTCATTAGGGCAGGTTTCCACGTAATTATCATGAATAGCTTTTTTTGTCATGTCTGATGGGATGTATATTGGAGGAACATCGTCTCGTCCTCTTGGAGCAGCTGGTTGTCGTAGTCCAAAGTCATCAGCAAAATTAGAAACAAATTGGACCACTGACCTAATATCACAATATTTAGGTGAATGACTAGGTTTCTTCCCAGTTTTTCCATGTTTGCGTGGTGTTACCCCATGTGTATTCATGTGTGTTAAAACGTATCGAAGAAAGCGCTTACCAATGTCATAAGCAAGCATAAAAGTTTTCTTGCACACTTTCTCACCAGAAAACATGAATGTTTGTCGTGAACGCAGTCTCTTCTTTCCGCGTTTGGTTGTCTCCTTACTGTTGTCTACAAGAGAACCCATGACATACATGTCCTTCTCTTCCTTTGACATCTCCCTCATGTTAAGGATGTGAGTATATAAAACATCATTGCTAAACAGAGAGAGGCACATGTTCTTACAGCCGCATCCCTGTACCATGGTTTCTCTGATTTTATACAGATCAGGATCATCCTCGGGAAGAGGCACATTTGCGATATCATTCAAATTTATTTGGTCTTCATCTTCTGTGTCGTCCCCACTTGCATCTATGTCCGAAGAGTTTGTTTTATCAAGAAACTGCATAGCACGTTGATCAAGATCCACCGCCTTATTAACAGGCAGGTCGTCATCAGAGTCATCCGAAAGAACTTCATTGTCACTGATTTGGGATGCAGCGGGAGTGTTTAGAGGGGTCCGTCCGAAATGTTCCGAGAAGAGATTCTCTAGCTCCTGAATATAAAAAAAAATCAGAGTGCATTTCAAAAACATGAAGAAATTAGTTTTTATATTTACATACAAGTTATCAAATTGCTTTGGTTAACTATATTTTGAATTTATATTTCCTATAGACTAAATTTTTTAATTTATTTTTCTTTTTGAATTCAAGATACAAAACTTATGTTATTATGCTCAGTTTCTGATAACATACAATCCATTCATTTCAATTTCAAGATGATATTTATGTACACATTTTTGAATCTATCTAAAATTATATAAGTATGTAGTGAATTTCATTTTCCGAAATTTATTTGAATACCCCCCCCCCCCCCCCTCCCTACAGGGCATAGACACAAATTTTAAAATAAAATAATAAGAAATAAAAATAAAATTTACACAAAAAAAAATGTTGACTAGTTTATGTTGCTTAGAAATTAATTACTCAGTTTGCTAATAATAGAATATTGTGATTTGAAAAATGTTATCGGGAATTCACGAAATATTATAAAGACACACAGAATGTTTTTTTTTCTTTTTTTATATATATATATATATATATATATATATATATATATATATATATATATATATATATATATATATAATATTAAATAATTTGTTGTAATTATAATGGTTGTTTATGAAAATAACTTCAAACATTTTATGGCCGAAGTACACGTTCAAAAAAAAAAAAAAAAAAAAAGATTACCGGTGGGATTTTAACACCCTATACCAAAATGACAACACACCTTCCCTGCTACTATATCGATTACGCCACGGCGACTCCAACAGTATTATGTAATTATTTATTATTTATAGATTTTCAGAGAGATTTGCGCTATTAATAATTTACCTTTTGACACATTTCAAATTATTTTCATTTTTGTTTCGAATATATTTAAACGCACAAGACTGTTGAAAATAGCATGTATGGAAACTGTCACAAACACTAAGTTAACATTATGCAAACATTGTAAGTAATTACGACATTACCTCATTAGACAATATTTCGAATCAAGTTTCGAATGCTTTTCACCTTTCGCAATTTTGCGAATTATAAATGTGTTTACTGTATTTCTTTGACGTTTTTTCCCAAACTTACAAAAAAAAAAAAAAAAAGAAAACTGGGAATTTTAATCGATGGCAATGAATATCATACTTATTATAATCTGTAACAGTTTTGAAACAGACAGCACGCACTTTAGGAGGAGTCCTACATGTACCAGAAATTAAAGCGAGGCGTATACATGAAAAATTTAGATTATCGTCAATAAAACTTATGTCTGTTTGAAAAAAGAAATGTTACTTACCTCCAATTCACAATCCATTTCAATGTCAAATTTCCGTAAACGACTAGGCAATGAGATAACTTGAAAACATGTTTATATTTCACAGCTGAAGGCAGCAAAATGACGTCAAGTTCTTTGGCGATTTTATACGTCATAATACCGATGTCATTAAGACCCCTTTTTCCAGAGAGCGGTCCATATATTGATTTTCAGATATTGATTAAAACAAGATATTTAATCATATCGAGATAATATTGTTGATATGATAAAATAAAGATATAGTTATATCAATTCTAATTTATGAATATTTGCGATAAAGAAGTCAGAATAAAGTTTTTTGAATTATTTTGGCGGGGGCGGGAATTCCAGTGAACCTTCACTTCACTCGGGATTCAGTGAAAGCTTATGCATCACGTCAGCATGTACGATTAAAGACTGAATCAAGTTAAAAAGTATATTTAAAAAGGGATATGGAGACAAATTGAAAGTTATAGATCCATAGTGGGCTATTGCACCGATCACCACTTTTGAAGAGGGGGAGACAAGAGTATCTTTGTGCCCCTCATCCAGCTAAAAAAAAACAAACTGAGTACAGCAGAGATCCACTGATATGTCTCCAAATTTAAGAAAATTCTTGCAGTTAGATGATTAAATCCCTTGGGTGTTTTTCTTGTTAAAAATTTATTTTGGCTGACACTACACTTTCTTCCTTTAAACTTTGTGACTAAGCTTATACAGATTGGCTGAATTCACAAAATATTTTATATTATTTAAAGCAATAAGAAGTTAGATAAAGTGTTATTATATTTCTATGCAGGGGAGGGGGGGTTGGGGGTTGGGAGGTTTCAAGACTGTGGAGTTTCTCATTCATGAGTCAGATCCTATGTATATCACAGTGTGAAACATCAAATATTTACAAAGTACATAATTATATAATCAGTGTTACTTTTATAAAAGTGTTACCCGGTACTTTCTATTTTCGCTTCATTAGCGATTTACAATCCCCATTGAAATCAAGAGATATAAGCAGTGAACCATGATAGAATATATCAGATTCCCTCTTCAAAATGATGGGTACAATAATTTACTATGACAATGCATATAATTTAACTGTTAATGTCTCTCCATCTCCATTTTTCAAATATTTTTTTTTTTTTTTAATTTTGTTTCAGCCTATAATCCTACACGATAGCAAATACATGGTACATAAGCTTCCCAAGTGAAGTGAAGATTAATTAGAATTCCCGCTCCCGCCAAATTAATTAGAAAAAAAACTGACTTCTTCTCCAAAATATTTATATATCTATATCGATATAACTTCATATCTATTTCTTCATATCGACAATACTATATTGGCATGAATAAATATTTTGTTTAGATCGATATTTGAAAAGTAGTATAATATTTCAGTCGATAAAAGTTAAAGCAAAGAAATCTTTTGATAAAAAAAAGTTGCCTTCAGTTATGTAAATTCACCTCAATGCAATTCAAAATATGGGCATAAATAAGGAGGTATAACACTTTATATGTTGATAAGTCGATAAAATATAAGACAATATACAAAATTATGACAAAACAAGTGTAGAGTCATTTATGCTTCCGTAGAAAATTACTGAATTCTTGGTAAATTCAAACATGAAAAAAAAAGAACTTTTGGTCTGTGAAGACTTTTGTTTTTAGCATCATGCAGGACTTTATATTTGTTTTTGCATTGAATACACAAATGTTGCAAAATATGTAAATACCACAATATTATCATATGGGTTTTCCTCGCCATCTTCAAAGGACAAACTCTCGTGCTTCGAAAACTTTGCCTACAAGTAAAAAATTGAATTAAATAATTGTACATGATTTGATTTTTGTTATCCAACTGCATGGCTTATTTATTCCCAGTATTGTTAGAATGATATATTTTAGTGAACTAATTTTTAAAGCTCGCCAAATCTATGGATTGTGTACTGCAAACTCATATATTTTCGTTGGGTCAAATGCTTGTGGTTTGAGTTAAAGCTCTTGGTTCGTGGGGATTTGAATTTGTAGTTATGTGTCTACATTTTACATTCCGTGGTGGACCTACCGTTTAGTTTAGCTCAGTCGGTAGAGTCGGTACAGCGCTCGCTCCATGACCGGTAGGTCGTGAGTTCGTATCTCGGCCGGAACTGACCTAAGTCGATAAAAATGGGTAGCAACTGTTCCTTCGCCATGCGCTCGGCACTTTGAAGTGAAAGGTGCGGGTCATTCGAATGAGACCTTAAAAACCGAGGCTCCGTGTCAGCGGCAGGCGTTGGCACGATAAAGATCCTTCACTGCTCAATGGCCATGAGTGCCGAGTAAAGGTAAAATTTGAAGCCCTTCACCGGCATACGGTGACGTCTCCATGTGAGTGAAAAATTCTCGAGAGGGACGTTTAACAAAATACAATCAATCAAACAATCCGTGGTGGACCATCAATACATTGATCTCTACATACCTCGAAAACAACTAACATCGTTTGGAATTCTACTGTGTAGCAGAGTTTACGCGAAGCTCTAAATTTTCGGGGAATTTGTGCAATTGAATTCGCAACTGAACAACTATTCATTATACCCGCACTTTCTAAAGAAAGTATATTGTTGTTACTCATGTCCGTCTGTCCGTCCGTCCGCCCGTCCGTCTGTCACACTTTTCTTCCCTGAACTCTTCCTACATTTTACACAGTAGCTTAATCATCTTATGGGAGATGGTTGATGGTGTCATGTAGATGTGCAGTAAGGTTTCGGAAATTTGATTTTGCCCTGGGGGGTCAAATGGGGGTCGAAAAATGACGTTTTTTACGCAAAAAGCCCCGTCTTCCCTGAACTCCTTCTACATTTTACTTAGCAGCCTAATTAACTTTTGGGAGATGGTTGGTGGTGATATGTAGATGTGCACTAAGGTTTCAGAATTTTGATTTTGCCCTAAGGGGTCAAATATGGGTCGAAAAATGACGTTTTTTATGCTAAAAGCCCCGTCTTCCCTGAACTCCTTCTACATTTTACTCAGCAACCTAATCATCTTTTGGAAGATGGTTGGTTGTGTCATGTTAATGTGCAGTAAGGTTTCGGAATTTTGATTTTGCCCCGGGGGGTCAAATGGGGGTTGAAAAATGACGTTTTTTATGCTAAAAGCCCCGTCTTCCCTGAACTCCTTCTACATTTTACTCAGCAGCCAAATTATCTTCTGGGAGATGGTTGGTTGTGTCATGTAGATGTGCAGTAAGGTTTCGGAATTTTGATTTTGCCCCGGGGGGTCAAATGGGGGTTGAAAAATGACGTTTTTTATGCAAAAAGCCCCGACTTCCCTGAACTCCTTCTATATTTTACTCAGCAGCCTAATCATCTTTTGGGAGATGGTTGGTGGTGTTATGTAGATGTGCAGTAAGGTTTCGGAATTTTGATTTTACCCTGGGAGGTCAAATGGGGGTCGAAAAATGATGTTTTTTTAATGCTAAAAGCCCCGTCTTCCCCGAACTCCTTCTATATTTTACTCAGCAGCCTAATCATCTTTTGGAAGATGGTTGATGGTGTCATGTAGATGCGCAGTAAGGTTTCGGAATTTTGATTTTGCCCTGGGGGGTCAAATGGGGTCAAAAAATGATGCTATTTATGCTAAAAGCCCCTTTTTCCTGAACTCCTTCTACATTTTACTCAGTAGCCTAATCATCTACTAAGAGATGGTTGGTGATGTCATGTAGATGTTTGGATTTTCATTTTGCCC